TCAGGAGGGCAGCAAGACACCAGAGGCCATGCCTGAATCTTCCCTTTAACTCCCACCTCTACCGAGGTCAAATTCACCTTGTTGGCCTCCTTAAGAAAGCTCACACATGCAAGACTCAGGCTTTTCCTGAAATTGGAGCAAAGGTGAAAAGGCCCAATAAAGCACTGTTTGTGTTTCCAGGCGCTGGGCGGCTTGGCTCCCTCGAACGTGGGGTTAAGAACCTTGAGACACAGCGAATGGACCTCATTTCTTTCACCTACCTCTCCACGCTGGCAGGCCTGCGCTGCCCCTCCTCCTGGCTGTCCACCCATGGCAAGGCCTTTCCAGAGAAGGGCCCTCCCCTCCCTTCCAGGAGCCTCTGCCTGACCTGGCAAGTCCTGCCAGCCCTTCCCCAGAGGCCCAGGACTGCGTGTGCTTGTTGCAATACAATTTTATTTACCTCACAGTGGAACCCATGAAAGCCAAGGCATCGTTGCGGCAGGAGCTAGCAGGGGTCATGGAGCCCAGTCCTGGGCCTGACCGGTGGAGGATTTTATTTAAAGAACAAAATAAAACTAAACACGGAGAACAAATTACTTGGCTTAGATGTCAGGAATCTCCCAGCAATGGTGGAAATTTCACACAACTTCCCTTAAAAAACAACCCAAAACTGTCCCCCTGTGCCCGAGTTGCTGGGAGGAAGATGGTGTTACTGTGACTTGATCTTTGAACTTGAAATGCTAACTCCCTACCTGGAAATTTGATGCAATGTATTTTTAGACAGTCAGGCGGCAGAAGGTCCTCTGCGCCTCCCATCTTCAGGGAGGCCCCGGGATTCCCCTGTACCGGTGTCTAAGCGCTGACCTGGGAAGCCAAGTCCTCAGGGGGAGATCTGCTCAGACCTTCCTTGGAAGTTCTGAACGCACACGTGCACACATGCAGGATGGGATCGCTGAGGATGGCTCGTGGTTGGCCTTGCTTCATGGCAGGTGTGGGGTGGCATGGAGTGAACTTTACAGAGGCACAGAGAGGTTCGCAGAGGACACACAGCAAGGTGGAGGCGTGGGAGGGCTGCGGGTTTGCTGACTCAAATCAGGGCAGAGCTCTTGATTCAGAGTGTGTGGCCCCTTGTGGTCACTGCTGCTGAAGGCTAAGGTCAGCGGTCTCTTTCCTGAGCGGCAGGGGGGATTCCCTGTGCCAAGATAAGCCACCCTCATGACAGCTTTTACACCGAGTCCCCACGGCCATCCTGAGAGGTAGCCTGAGTGGGTGTCCTTCTTCTCATCTTACAGGTGAGGAAAACAGGCTGGGAGGGGCGGAAGGCCAGGTCCCTGACCCAAGGAAAGGACTCCTGCCTCTATACAGCTGCTCCTCACCCTCAGGGGAGACGTTGGGGGAAATCAGCTTTTTAGATTTTGGGGAGTTCCCCCTGGGCCAGGTCAGCTAAGGACAGAACACCCTGCAACCTGGTTGAAATGGGTCCTAGGATTGTCTGATTCCTCAGGGACTCTAGAGAGGGGTGGGCCCAGTCTCAGGTCAGTACTGTGTCCCCTATACCCACCCACCCCGGGTCTTTGCTTTGTGACTCAGCTGGGCTATAATTCTACATGCGTGTGAGTTTTCCCAGGGGACCTAGCCCTCCTTCCTACAAGGCAGGGCAGCCTCCAGGGTCCTCTGCCCAGCGGACAAACAGGAAGGTACTTCCTTCCCTTTGTCCAGTGAGCCCAAGGTGTCCCCCACACCCCAGTCTCCACTCCCACCCCCATACAAGTTAATTAATTTTGCCAAACGATAAAGCTCACAGGGACCTTACGGGTACTGACCCCACCTCACCCGACCTACAGTACTCACCTACTTTTCTTATTGCCGCCCTCCCTCCATTGCCAGGGCCACACATCAAAGGTGCAAGCTGGGTGCCAGCCCCGGCCTCAAGGAAGTCCTGTGGACAGCCAGTGTCCTGCTCCTTCCTAGCAGGGTTTCACACAGGCTCTTAGGGAAAACTCGAAGGGCAAGGTCAAGGTCCCCCACCCCTTCCTGGATTTAAAACCTCCCTCCTGCCTGACGCGGGTGGGTCGGGAATGACGTGGTACCGTCTGCCGACACTGTCCCAGCCCCAGTCTGCTAACGAAGCAGCCCTTTCAGGACTTCAGAGCCTTCTCTGAGGAGTGGGCCGGGCACCCGGACTTGTGCGTCTTCCCGGCTGGAACATCAGGAAGAGCAGGGTTCCTCCCCGCGCCCCCTGAGGACACCCTTCTGGCCCAGATGGGGAGCGTTCATTCTACTCACCCTGCCACTTCCCCTGGACGCCTTCTTCTCCACCCTCCCACATCGTCCCCCGGCCTTGGGAAGAGTGCCCTGGAAGTTGGCGGGCAGGCACTTCAAGCTTCACCCCGCTGCCCCGTGGTGCCGGCGTGTGCACATCAAAGGTGCCCTCTCTTCCCAGAGGCCCCGACGACATCACGCAACGCTGTCAGCACGGACGTTAGCGGCGGGGCCCGGAACACTGAATGCCAACTTTTAAGTATGTGCACACAGGCTTGCAGGCCAATAAACATTAAGTGTCATTTTAAAAAATGGGTTAAATAAGCAGTGTTGCTGAGGACAGCCGTGCAGGCTGATTACCCCCTATTTGCACGTCCTGGCGGTGGGAAGGCTACAAGTCTAATGACTGAATTACCACCCTAATGCCTTTTGCTGGCTGGGAATAATCCTGGGGTAACAGCTGCCGCAGGGTCTTTGGCTGGTTTCCTCTAATTGCATCCAGATGAAGGGAGCAGTGCAAGGGGCGGGGCTTCTCCACCCCCTTGGAGCAGGGCTCCTGCAGAGCCTGCACAGCCCCTGACTGGCCTGAAGGTACAGAGGACATGGGCCCCGGGCAGCCCATGGGGAGTGAGGGGAAACTGTGAGGGGCAGGGTGGCACCTGAGATGAAAGATGGAAGTGGGCAGTCGGGGACAGGTCTTGGAGGCAATGTGAGTAGGACTCAGGATGGATGACTTCCACTTGGGACCCTCCAGGGTGAATGTATCCTTGCTCCCTCTATCCCTGGACTTGGCAGCTGGAAGGTATGGGCACCAGGGCAAAGGACAGGGTCGCGATCCTGTGGAGGCTGGAGCAGGAAAGGAGTGAGACGGACCAGCATGGCGCCTGTACCAAGACTTCCTGGGGATGCTGGCTAGACTGTGACAATGGCCCCAATCATCACCCATCCACATTCCCAGGTTTCTGCCACATGACTGTGCAGAAGGACACTAGAGGGACCCAATTCCATGCCCTGGATACTGAGTCTGGCCAGTGACTTGCTTTGATCGTTGGGATGTCAGCAGGTGTGCTGCCCACCAAGGCTTGGAAAGCTGCCTGCCTGTTTCTGCCTCCACACCTTTGCCTTCTTTAGGGCTGACCTGCAGGAGGGACACATGAGACCCATGGAGCAATGCCAAGTCACTCCTGCCCCTTCAGTAAGTACCCCCTTGACTTCAGAGCCAGGCGCTACAGAGGGGAGCAATTCCATCTGAGACCAAACCCACCCAACCTGGGCTGCTGATCGACAGACACCTGTGCAAGCTAAGCATGGGTGGTTTGAGGCCACTGAGTTCTGGAGTTATGGACTGCAGATATGCCTGTCTGCTAGGTGTCCAGAGGAGGCCCAGGCCAGAAGGACAGGGCAGGTCAGTGGCAGCCACTTCCCCTAGGGGATCAGGAACCAGCACAGAAAGCGATCCTCTTTTCCCAGAAGCAAAGTGGAGGAACCACCCACCCCCAGGACCCTTACTGCTGCACTGACTGTTCAGCACCCCAAGGTCTGGATACTGACAGCCTCCAGGATGGTCTCCCTGAAAGGTTCTTGGACAGAGGGCCTTGGATACTTTCAATTGGCCATCAAGGGACATGGCTCACAGAGAAAAGAAGCTGAGAAGAGAAAGCCTCCTCTTTCCTGATGACAAACACCTGTTAAAAATGGCACTAGCCTTCAGTGAGAGAGACTGAGCGGGGTCCTCAGCCTGGCCCCATGACAACTTGGCCCTTCACAGAGGGTTCAAGGCTCCCCACTCCCACCAACTTAGGATGTGTCTAGGAGACAGTCACGCTCCCTCGTCTGTCCATCCTCAATCCCAGAAGAGGCAGCCGACTCAGTCTCGTTCCTACCTAAGAAGCAGAACCCTGAGTGCTTCTAGGGCCCTGAGAACCGGTGGACAGAGGTCCCTGTTCCCAGAGAGAGGGCGAAGAGCCTTCCCAGCTATCCAGCACTTTCATCTTGGCTGATCAGTTAACACGCAGACTGTCTTTGGAGAATCTTGCGCACACGCACACACACACACACACACATTCACCAAGGCACACACATACTCACACACACGAACGCACATATGGGCCCCCTGACCCAGTCAGCCCCAGCTGGCTGCTGTATTTGGAGGACTGACCACAGACAATGCATAGATAGTCAGATGAAGATCCCAGGCAGAGGCATCCAATACTTGCCCACCAGCCTGTGGCTGCTGCTCAGGGTAGGTGCATCCTTCTCACAATAGGGCACAGATGTTCAAGGTGGGAGAGGCCCAGCTCTCAACACCTGTCCTGAGAAGAGTGACGCTTTCTCAGTTTTTTTTTGGCAGATGCCTTCACATCCGTTTTGCAGCTGTGGGAATGTGACTCTGAGAGTGTCAAGGAGGCCTGTCAGGCTTGCAGGGACGTCTCTGGGCCTGGGCAGAACCCCTTACTCTTCTGCATTCCTTGGCACTGGTGGGTGGACAGGCTCCTTCTCCTGTCCCTGCTTTACACACTGCCAGGCAAGGAGGAATTCCTGGGCTGTGCTGAACTCCACCAGAGGTGACCACATACATCAAGGCTGACTAGCCCGTGTCCTGGGGTAGTGGCCGAGCATCCTGGTTCCAGCATCTGAGAGCTGACTTTTAGTGGCTGGTAACTTCTGTCACCTCTGGACTCTGCTTTTGCCATTACTATGATGAGTTCTCTTCAGGTCCCCCAGAGACATTTTCCTTAAGTTTCTACCATCTCCTATTCCCTCCACACCCATGCCCACCCCACCCCCCAACATCCATGCCAGGATCTCCATGAGGTCCCCTCACCCCTTGTCCAGAGCAGTCAGCCCTACCTATCTGCGGAAACCGAAGCCTTCCCGGGGCGTCTTTGGGGCCTTCTTGCCTTCTCTTGGGGTTCTGGGGGAAGGCATCTCCACTGTGCCCCCATAGGGGCAGCTCTCGGAGCCCGGGTGGTGGCCGGCACACTCCACGGAAGGCATGCAACCACTGTCCCACATTCCTGTCCCGCACAGCTTACACAGGTCGTGCAGGCTGCAGGGGATGCGCGGCAGGAGGCGGAACTGGTACAGCAAACTCCTGGCCTGCAGAAAGAGGACAGCGACGGCCATGTGGAAAGGGGGCGGGGCCATGCGCGGGGCGGGGCTTTGCGCGGCCGGGGCCGGGGGCGTGGCCTCGCGAGCTCAGTAAGGGCAGCGCTCACCTTCCTAAGTACCAGCTCTCCGTTCATGTGCATGGCCAGGTTTGCAAAGTGTAGGAGCATCTGGTCAGTGGCCAGCTGCTGCTCAATGACGTCATCCCCGTAGATGGCCACGATGGCCACGCAGATGAACAAGTGGAAGTAGTCCGTCTGGAGGGAGATCGTGGACCTCAGACCGCCCATCACCCAACTCCGCCTGGAGGGTGGGGGGTGGTGGGGACTCCAGGATGAAGCTGCCTAGGTCTGGGCCTACGTTTGCTGGCCCTGCAGTTCTGGGAAGCTGCCCAGCCTCTCTCAACCTCAGTTTCCCCACCTGCAAATGGGGCTGTTGCTGAATCCAGAGTGGACAATGCTGATGGGCTCTTTGGGCGGTGTCCATCATGGGGACAAAGAATGTTGTTCCTCCAAAGCCTGGCCTGTGCTCACTGTGGGGTCTTGTCTGCCAAGGTCTTGAGCGGGGTGTGCACAGGCACGTGCCCCTGCTGCTGGAACACACCAGCAAGGAAGAGCCTCTGGCAGCCGCGTGCAGGGCAGGCTTCCAGCAGGCCATCCTCAGCGCACAGCCCAGAGACTACGGTCAGTCACTGAGTGTAGGACGCAGATCCCAGCTGAGCAGCTTGCTGTGGAGGGCACCACCATCTGTGTTCCTAACCCTCTTTCCAGAGGCCTGTGGAGAATCCCGCCCTCCTTTAAGGCAGAAGACAGCCCACATGTAGTCCTGGCTGTGCGCATCCTGTCCTGTGTGAAGCTTGTGGCTTTTCATACACCCTGATTCCCACAGGTGGAGGAAGGAGAGGAGCGCCAGGAAGTCTGTGTTTAGTCCCCTGATGTGCGTAGATCACTCACCCGGGAGGAACCAAGTTCCCTAACCCTATGGTGGTGAACTCCCCACACCCGGCCTGCTCTGGAAGACACCACCCCCAGGGCGCCTGGCCTCTTCCTCCAACTCCTCTGGAATGGTCTTGTTCAGGCATCTGAGTCTAGCTGGAGAGAGAGCTGCAGGAAGTAGACACCCAGCTCCTGGGGAATATGGGGTGGGGCACGTTTTATATGGACTGGACCTCAGCACAGGCAAATTTCCGCTGCCAGGATAAGATGCAGGGCAGGCCAGCCCCATGGCAAACTAATGGGAACTGGTGCAGCCTTCCGTTTCAGAAGTCTCTCAGAGCTAAAGACATCACTAGCAGTGACACTCTCCCTCCTTCCCCCAAGAACTGGCTCCTGGATAAGAACCCTCTCCGCCATCATCCTACCATTCCCTCCCACTCTCAGCCAATCAGGAGATGGTTCCATGTGGTGACATGTGGCCCAAAGTCTGATACTGTGAACTGGCTTTGCAAGTGTCAAACAAAATGGCAGTCAACAGGCCTATGCCGATGGGCCTCCCTCCTGTCATGTTTATGCTCAGGACACAGCATGGTGAAGAAAGTCACCGTGACAGATGTCCACGTCTCTCTGGTGATGCTGAGGCTGCTCGTACTATAATGTAGTGAGGGCAGTGAGGCTCGTGTGAGTGTGTGTGTGTGTGTGAGACTGTGTGTGTGTGTGTGAGTGTACAAATGAGTGTGGGTGCATGTGTGTGCACACGTGTGATCTTTAGTGTTTCCATCCACCCTGCCATGCCTCCTGTTATTACTGTACATATTTCACCCTGAACGTCATGTCCAGGTGGGAAATGCAGCCCAGACCCAGATCCAGGTGGGTGCAAGCAGAAGGTGGGCTGCCACAGAGGGACACACAGCTCGTGGCACCTGCTTGGTGTTTCTCCAGACCCCTTCTGATCAGATGTAAGGCCCCATGGTGCCACTGAGCGTGGGAATTTCCGGTGGAAGATGCTGTCAGGACTGCGGAGGGGGACGCGGGAGTCCACGCCTGGGCAAGCAGGGGTCCTGCCCTCCAGGATTGCTTTAAAGGCCAATGGATTCCCAGAGACGCCCATCCTCTCAGTCACAGCGTGCCCCTAACTTTGGTGTGAAAGCCACGTGATGGTCAGTACTATGCTTGGAGGAGAATTTGTGGAGGAGACACTGAGGATGGTGGATGGCAGGCAGAAGTGGGCAAGGCTGATCTGGGCTCTCTGGAGAGGCTGCGAGGACGCAGGAGCTCGGGACTTCTCGTTGGCCTGTGGCAGAGCAGTCTCAGGGGGCAGGGAGGGATGGGATGGCACTGGCCCTAGCATGTGGACACCGGCATCCAGGCTGCCATGGCTTTGCTAGGCCTGCTGATGTCTCTCCCACTGATTGGTTGTGACAGGAGAGAGCTCAACCTCAGAGCGTGGTAATGAGTGCAGTCAGCGGGCAATTTGCATCCATTTCAGTTACTTGGGAGGTGAGGACTAAGGCTGGCTGTGTGAGACTGGGAAGAGTTGCTGTGTGGGGGCTGTCAGTGACTTGTGGATGGGGGCGAGCTGGAGGATGGACCCCAGAGGAGGATGGCTGATGCCTGCACCCTCCCTCCCTGAAGGTGGGATGCAGAATAGTGCCTGATGTTTGGGGTGACACCTGCCTGCTCACCTGGTAGTGGGCCCAGCAGGCCTCCCAGATCCGCAGGGCCTCAGCCTCGGGGAACTCCCGCTTGAAGCACAGCAAGAGCCAGCGGTGGCAGAAAAGCATCTGCAGGCCATCCTCGCCCAGCGAGACCAGGTGCTGGTAGAAGCGCTGGTGCGTCAGCCGCAGCAGCTCCCGCAGGTACAGCTGGGGGTGAGACCAGGATGGTCAGCCTGGCCCCCTGGGCAGGCCTGTCCCCCTGGCTCCAGAAGCCCACTCCTCAGGCCACCTTCATCTTCAGAAAGCAAACACAGGAGATCTCTCTGCCCGCCACGCCTGTCTGCCACCCACTTGCTTCATTCCACGAGTAGCATTTTGCTCACACCTGCCTTTGGCGGCTTGTCCCAGATTTAAGATTGCTCTGGATGGAGGCTGTGATGTGGCCTTGGGCAAGATATAGCAATGACACCCCATGTGGCCGGGGAGGCTGACTCATGGGAAGTCATCTCAGTCCAGCCAACACCTGGGGCTGTTTCTAACACCCATCTCTTCTGGCAAGGTGAGAGGGTCATCCTGGGACCCTGACCCAACTCCCTCTTTTTCCCATGACCACAATCCATCATCTACGAGAGCTGAGTCAGGGCAGGAACGGGTGGTGCCTGAGCCTCTGGCCGCTGGACTGTGGTGTGTAAGGTCACCCCTGTGAAGTGGGACAAGATTGAGGCTATTTCTGGCAGCACTGGGCTCGGGCTGTTGACTTCACTGATGCTGTTGGAAATCAATCTCCAGCAGCTAATGAGTCACCAGCCCTGAGCTGCCGCGAGCCGTCAGGGGCAAATGGCGTCAGACCCTGTAATTACCTCCCCAGGTACCGTGGAAACCCAGGCGATGCAGGGACACCAGGCCTGAGAGGCTTGGCTGGGGTCAGCCCACCTCAGAGCAGGGGTCAAATACTCCCAGGTCACAGCTGGGGGTCTTGCAGCCTCTGTGCCCCTCCCCACACAACTGGTCTATTGTTCCTACTGGAGACAGCGGTTGCCCCTGTAGGACTGAGAGGCCAGTGTCTCCACTCTGTGGCCACGGTGCAGCTGACAGCTGACCTCCCTGTGGACATCTTATCCCCAGCTCCCACCAGGGTGCCCCTCACCTCCTTGCACCCAGTGGTCCACCCTCACTTCCTCTCTGCTGAGTTGGGCACTTCCACCCCGCCTTCAGAGGCCCCTCACGGGTAATCTGTAGACAGACTCCTCGCTCTTCCTTTGGCTAGGCCACTGCTGCTTGAGGGAGCAAGATGGGTCACTGGGCACAACTACCCATAACCCTCTGCTCAGCTGAGCCGCCGTGATGCTCAAGGTCAGACCTGTGTGCTGAGGAGACAACCCCAACCCACGGGACCGAGACACCAGCCACCCTCCCTGTCTCTATCACAGGCACTTTCTGTGTCACTCTGCCCCAGGCCCAGCATCCTCTGCAAACACTGTCAGCTTCCAGACTATACTTTCTCCTCTGCTGAGGGCAGGTCACATCCCAGTGCCCAGCATGGGCACCAGTCAGGTTCTTGGTACCCAAAGGTAATATGCAGTAACTGAACAGGTGCTTTGACTTGTCCCTGGGCTGCATGCTGGCCCTCGCAGCCCTGGTGACCCGGCTTGGCTTGGCTCATTCCTTCTCACACCATTCAGTGCTGCCTCGTCTATACAGAACTGATCTTTGAGTGGGGTGCTGGCTGGGCCTTCCAAGAAAGCCTGCTGTTCCCTGGGGTGGGGACTCCAGAACTGTCTGTTGGCCTCAGAGCAGCACAAGGAGTCCTTCTGTTCTCACTCCACACAGGAGTCTTGGCTGCGTTGAGTCCCACAAGCCAGGTGCACCTGAGAACCCGTTCCATATAGCACTGGCCAGGCATGACAGGCCTCCCCTTCTTTGCCCTGCCAAGGAAGCTGGACTGGGCTCCCTGAACAGGGAGAGGAAGGCCATTAGGGGAGGACTCTACACAGCCCAACCTGCAGGGAGCAGGGGTGGGGAGTGGAAACCATCTCTAGAGTCCTGGGAGCAACATCAGTCCTCGAGGCAGCTGGCTGGCCCTTCCCCGGAGGCTAGCGCTGGCTGAGTTGACTGCATCCCATCAGTAACCCCCATCCTGGTTCTCTGCTGCCCAGTGACCCACGACAGCAAAGTTCCACATCACTGCAAAGACCCCAGGCAGCAAGAGGATGACATGCTACGTGCTTTTTCTCCATGCCTTCCAGTCCGTACACACACACACAGCCCCGAGCCTCACCAGCTGTCTCTCCATATCCTCATCCCGAGGAGAGCTGACGAAGATGGTGTTCTGCATCAAACCAACAAAGCACCAGAAGGTGTCCGATTCATCCAGGACCTCAGCCAGGATGGGCGCCACCAGGTCTGACATCCCTTGGGAGTAGCCGATAGCTGGGTTGTACACAGCATAGTTCAGCAGGATCCTCCTGGCAAGGCGGTGGAGAGAGCAGAAGTGGGCAGGACCCTTTCTGCCCTGGCTGTCCCCGCCGTGGCCTGTTGCCTAGGTTGAAGTCCCCAGCTCCCCAGACTCCTGCTGCGCTTGGACCTCAGGGGAAGCAGCACCTGACTGCAAGCCCTGAAACTCTTCGACCACCTCGAGAGCCCGAGCTCTGCAGAAGGCAATGGCCTGCAACCAGCTGCTCGCCAGGCCCAGAGCCTGGAGCAGGGCATGAGGGAGAATGTGAGTCTGATTTCCTTAATGGTCCACTGCCTGTGACAAAGGGTGGGCTGGTAGGGACATTTTTATGGGCTGTTAATTTTGTGCAATTATTTGCCAGGCTACAGCGGAATGTCAAAGATACCACCTCTAGTTGTGTGTGGCTTTATCATGGGAGGGCCACCCATCAGGAGATGGATGGGATGCCTGGAGGGTTTGCCCACAGTGGGGGTGATCTAAACAAGGAGCTGCTTGGTGGGTGCCCTGCTGGCATCCTTGGGCAGGACAGTGTGGTGCCCTGGCATGTCATGGCTGTGGGATTCCTGCTCATGAACAGCCGGTCCCCTGCTCTAGGGCCCTGACTATATGAACTTGCAAGGATCCCTGCAGAAGGCCGCTCCTGGACTTCTCTCCTTTGGGGAGGATCAGCCAGAGCCCACAGACACGCAGACAAGGAAGGAGTGGGTGCTCAGGCCTCAGCCTGGGCAGCTACCTCATGCTCTCCACGTTTGGGTTGTCCTCCCCTCGGAAGAACTGGTTGCTTCGATCCGTCCGAACCACGTCTTTATCCACAGTGAACTGGACATCGCGCCAGAATGTTCGGTGCTCCTCGGGCGTCATGGAGAGCCTGGCATGGGGCAGAGCACCACCCCGCAGTCAGCAACAGCACATGGAGGGGGCCGTGGTTGGCGGTGAGTTGTTCAGGGGTCCCTTGGGGCATTGAGCAACCCACACACTCCAGGAAGGGGACTGGCCTCCAACCAACCCTTGCTGGCTGGGTAGGAACTGGCACTGCTGTGCTTGGTTGTAGGAGCTAAGCCTCCAGCTCCCATGGACGTGGGTGGGTGCTGTGTATCTAAGGTTTTCTGCAAAATCAACCCTGCCTTGCAGGTCCAACCCTCCATGGGTTGAGAACGGAGCCCAACCCAGTGGGTAATGAGTGGAGCGCTGCTCAGTCTCAGAGCACTGGAGGAGAGAGCTGACCTCAGCTCCCTGGGTAGTGAGTGAAGCCTGGGTGAGACACAGCAGTCCAGTTCCTGCTGTTTTTGCCCTTAAGGCCCCTGTCCCCAGCCCAGCCTGCAGCTGGGGGACATCAGTGTCTAGTTAAGCCTGCGAACAAGAATTCAAACAACCTTTACGTGGGAGCTAAGCAGCTCAGCCGGAGGCCCCGGTGCGTGGTGTAATGACGGCCCTTATCCCTCCTGATCACTCCCACTCCTGGGAGACCCATTTTCGAAAGAAACCATGGCTCATGGCACATATTATCAATGCTGAATTGCACCTCCAATTGCCCTTCAAAGGACATTTTCCTCCGTGGTTCGGTGGGGCTGGTGGCGCAGGGTGGGGGTGATGGGCACCTTTTCTGCTGGATGTCTGCGTATTCCTTTCGCTTCTGCACCCTCAGCGCCTCCCGCTCCTCCGACGTGGACTCGTGGCTGTAATAGCGTAGCAGGAAGGGCCAGACCTCCCCCCGGATTGACACATCAACGCCACCAAAGAAAATGGCCTGGAGGAAGCAGTAGAAGTTGGGTGGGGGGAAGGAGGTGTGGATAAAATAGGACCGCTCAAAGAACCCCAAATTCCCCCCAAAGATGTGTGTTTTGGTGGCTCCGGGTGCGCCTTAATTCAGACCCAGGCAATTTGCACATGTTTACAAGGGGAAAGAACTGGTCGCCCATTCCCATACAGGGCACAAACCGGCTCATTTCAATGTCAAAGCCCCCCCGGGGCGGCGCTCCGATTAACGTGTCTTTCCCACGTCATGGCCTTAATCCCTGGTTTTTTGGAAATGCGGCATTTCAATACCGCAGAGCCTCTGTGCAGCCTGCCACGGGATCCCCCAAACCCCTCAGGATTGTCTTTTCAACGCTGCAGCTTTGATTGCTTCATCTGGGGGGGACGTCCACAACCTCACACAAGGGTCGGGGCCTCCCGAGGAGGCGACCTGTGGACGTGGGCGCGGCTGGAGGCTGCCCCAACCCACCTTCCGTCCGTCCGTCCGTCCGTCCGTCCAGTCCACCGGCGCCCAGGCCCCCGCAGGTGCACCTCACCTTGCGCAGCTTGTACTCCTCCTCCACCTGGCCCAGCTCGTTCAGATGCTTGAGCCAGGCGGAGACGTCCAGCCTCTGGTACAGGCTCTCCTCCGGGTGGGTCTCGGAGGACGGCAGCTTGGGCCGGCGGATAGAGAACTGCATGCAGGTCCTTTCGTCCGCAACCTGCTGGACCGATGGGAGGAAAACGGAGCCAAAATCAGGCAGAAACTCAAACGCTTGGCTTTGAAGCCGGCGATGCCGTTCCCAGGATTTAAAAGCCTCTCTCCTCTGAGAGGAGGGGGAAGCACGGCCCTGCACACAAACCTCTAAATGGCAAGTGTAATTAGACTCAATTAAAATGAAAATACCTTCATCCTAAAATCGCTCTCCCTTTGCCACTCTGATCACCGCCCCCCACTCTCTCTCCGACCCCAGCTGTAAAAAAAAAAAAGAAAAAAAAGAAAGAAAGAAAGAAAGAAAGGAAAAAGAAAAAAAAAAACAACCCACGGAATTAATGCCCCTTACGGCCTAACTTCCCTCTGCTGGGAGGGCCTGCAATAAATTACGTGTGATTGACCACATACAAAGGGATCCCTGTCCTACGAGCGGGGAGCCAGCCTGTCAGATTGTCTCCACGAGCAGTCACAAATCCAGGGCAAAACTGTAGCTGACATTTAATTCAAAAATCAAAGGTTGTTCAGTGTAGGGGGGAGAAGGAGCCATGCTACTGGAATAAGGGAAGCCAGCAGGAGGCTCTGTGGTAAGGACGGAATTTTGAAGTCAGCGCCTTTCTAATAGGCACATACGGTATCTTAAACAGATAATTAGAGAGCTCTTATTACATTTGTATGTAGATTGAGCAAAATATGGCAGGAAGCCTTGTCAAAACATGATTTTTCAAGTGCACAGCATTGACTTTTCAAAAGGCCCTGGGCACAGGTTTCAAACCCAAAGTGCTCTGTTGTCAGCCACCCGGCCACCACCAGCCACCACCGAGGACCAAAAGCCACCCAGTCACACACCCCGGAGACCCCAGCCAGACCCAGGGCTGGCGGGGGAGCAGGGTGCACTGGAGGAGTGGAGGAGTGTCTAGAATGGTCAGGGGGCAGCTGGTGTCCTGGGGGAGGGGGTCGTCCACCCCACCGCCACTACCACTGCCACTACAGGGCGGCTGGGCTACCTGGTCTCTGAGGTGCGTCTCCGTGCAGAATTTCCACTGCTGGAGCACCTCCGACAGCTTGTCCAGGCCACCATGGTGGAAGTGAAAAACCTTGTACTGGCTCTCTCTGCTGGCGACCACCAGCTGACCACTGGTGCAGGCCTCGTCGCTGAAGGGCCATGGTGGGGGGTGGAGAGAGAAGCCTCATGAATATGCAAATACGGGGGTCTATTTCCAAGTATGATCGAGGCCACAGAGCCAGAAACAGTGAGTCCCTCCCCTGCAAGTGGGAGGGACGGGATCCCGCCCCAGAAAAACCCAGAGCTCCCTTTTCTAGAAAGGTAAAATAGCTCCGTTCTGGGCGCCCCCCAGCACTTTCTCCAGAGAGCTGCCGCAGCGGCCTTCCCACCTCTGCCTGCTGGTCACATGGACCTTTCTGCCCAGAGACCTGGGCCATGCGCCCAGGTTAGCTGGAAGACGAACTGGAGCCGGGGAGGGATGGGCAGCAGGAGAAGCTCCTTGGGGTGGCACCCTGACCACACCCGCAGCAGGCCACCAGCCCCTCCTGGGACATGTCCATGGCTGTGCACACAGGCCTCTCATGGGTGCTGACTTGGGGCTGGGCCACCTGGACCGAGGTAGGGAATTATAGGCAGGAGGCCCAGAATCACAGCCCCTTTGGAGGGACAGGGCACCTCCATCCGGGAAGCCGAGCCCAGAACTGGACAGGGGGTACTGAGGAGCATCTCCAGGTTTTGGGGCCTGCAGGGCCACTCTGCCCAGCCCCAGATTCACTTTCTTCCCCAAAGCAGATTCTTAGCACTGGCTGGCTGCCCTCCCTTGCAGGCAGAGCCATGAGCTGGGCGATGGGACCGTTTGGCAGCCATGGTGGTTCCATTGATGGAGACATTTGGAAATGCCACATCGGTGGAACCAGTGTCCCCTCAGCCCTCTGCATGCACAGCTGGGAACACAAGTTACTTTCGGGAAGTCCGAGACCTGTCCTTGTGAGAGGTGCTTAAACAGCTTTTGCTGAAAAGCACTGACTCCTTACTTGGACACATGAATTAACTAAAAACAGGACAAGCTGGGCATCCCTGCCTCCATTTTGTATCTGTCTTTGCTCCTTTGCTCTAAGCCACTCTCTTTGCAGTCACTTTGCAAGCACCTTGGATTCCAGGACTGATAACATCTTTACAAGGGGCTAAAACTTCCCATAAGGAGCAGTGGAGACCTGCAGGACAGACGCCCCTCCAAAGGAGGACAATGACCCATAATGATGAGGCTGCACCCTGGAGCAGAAGCAAACACCTCATGGGACCAGATTGTTCCCCTCGAGTGATGACAGCGATAGCATCTTCTCTGGAACCCCTCTGGGACTGAAATAATGGTAAGCCCGAGGACGCCCGTGACTGGGACTGTTTCACTATGCATACCTTGTCCCCCGCCCCTGGTTCTTTGTCTGCTTAAACCTGTAGCTCATGTCTGGACCCTGAAGATGGCTGAAGATGGGCTGAGTGTTTACTCTGCTTCTTCCCCCGGCATGTCCCATGTCCCAGGCTGTATAATAAACCTCCTTTCTCTGACTTTGCCATGTCTCTTTATTTGGCGTTTAGGGACGGGTGGCCGGACCTGGCATATGGAATCTCAGGAGTTTGGGCCTTGGGTCCAGAACTCCACCTTCATCCTTACCTGAAGAAGAGGCGCAGGGAGCGCATGTGGCCCAGGTCCACGTGGAACACGCCGCAGATCTGCTCCAAGGTGCAGCCCCGCTGAGGCTTGTCCCAGCGCTGGCTCTGCAGGAGGCAGCTGCTGTCCGGGAAGCGCAGGGTAGCATCCGAGCTGGAGGGGGAACTGGCAGAGCAGGTCATGTGAGGTCCACGTGCTTCTCTGCCATGACAGCCACAAGGCCAGATTGGGGGGGGCATGTAAACAAACCCCCAAGCTCAAACAAACACTCAGATGCGACTGGACACACCCTGCAGGAAGCAGTCCCTACAGACACCCAGGAATGAGGGAACGAATCATTCTGGTTTGGATGGCGAGGCAAGTTCACAAACAGACCTCATTCTACTTTAATAGAGGCAGAAAGCAGTCAGGACGGCAGGCGAGGTCACGCTGACTGGCGCTCCAGTCTTTGCTGTGTGACCTTGGGTAAGTTACCAGGCCTCTCTGAGTCTTTGTTTCCCTCCCTTAGAAAGTAAGGATACTAACAAGGCTGAGTGGAACAAGCACTGTAAAGTGCCCAGTGGGGCCGGTCCTAGGGGCTGACAAAGGGTGCTGTTTTGGAACTGTTTTAGACAGGATGAGACTTTAAACTAAGTTTAAACCAGTTCTTTGTGTCTGTTTTGGAGAGGATGCCCTTGGGCTCATATATGGGCTCGGCCCTGGCCTACCCACCGAGATCCTCCCGTGTTTTCATGGCACACAGCCCTCACAATAACCCTATAAAAGAAGTAATGGTATCACCCCACTGTATAGAAGACAAAACCGAGGCCGGAGAGGTTAAGAAACTTGCCCAAGGTCGCACAGCTAGCAGGTGGTGGAGCTGAGACTGGAGCCTCAGATTCTCACAGCACACTTAAATATGTGAAATTTTACATATTTAGAGGGCAACGATATTTATCTCAGTTCTTCTGCTTTAAAAACACACACTAGCCGGGTACATGGCTCAAGCCTGTAATCCTAGCTACTCAGGAGGTAGAGATTGGGATGATTTCAGTTTGAGGCCAACCTGAGCAAAAGGTTCCTGAGGCCCCATCTCAACCAATGGCTGGGTGCAGTGGTACACACCTGTCATCCCAGCTACGCAGGAAGGCACAAAGGAGGATTGAGGTCCAGGCATGAAGCCAGACCCTACCTCAAAAATAACCCAAGTTTTCTTTTTTAGGGCTGGGGGAGCCTACCTGCAAGGCCCTGAGTTCAACCCTAGCACTACTGAAACGAAAGGGAGGAAGGGAGGGAGGGAGAGAGGAAGGAAGGCGTCTATGAACTGGTTATGTTCCCGGTTGCAGCGTATTTTCTTACACGGATTCAGCCACAGCACGGGTTGAGTCCTGTCTTAAAGATTTAAAATGTCTGCTAGAGTGCAATCAGGGTGAAAGCCAGAGCCAGTTGTGGCCCAAGCAGAGTCCCCACGCTGGCTTGGCCATGGACTCCTGGGACCGGAGCATCAACTATCTACAAATGTCTAAATCAGCTCCTCCGGACAGCTCGGCGTGACCCGGCCTCCCTCAGCCCTTCCTCAGAGAGAAGTCCTGGCCTTTTAGGACCCGTCACTGCTTCTAGACCACTGCTGTCCTTCCCCACGTCAAAGAACTTGAGATGAGCCCGGTCCTCCCACTTCCCAGGCACCTGGCCTCTCGGACCACAGGCTCAGGCAACACTTACAGCAGGTGGGCAGGGGGCTGGAGAACCTGGGAGAAACTGAGTCTCCCAGCCACGTGGCAAACGGGGCCCCTGCTGCACTGGGAAACCACTGTTCACAAAACAGGGTGAGGGCGGTCATTGCCACCCCACCCTTGCATGCCTTCACTCAAGGGGGTCTGTGTGTCCCCCAGGATCTCCTCCAACGGCCATCCGTGTCACCACATCACATATCCCCAGAGTCATCCTCTGAGACCTGCACAACTCCCCTCCACCCCAGCCCCCTGTGCCCTGCCGCCTGTGGGGCAGGCCACACTTCCCAAGCACCAGACAGAGACTCACTGAGGCAGAGTCTGGGCAGAAGGTCCCCGCTGGTCCCCTGGGGGACAGAGCTGAATCCAAACCAAGAAAGGGGCCCGGAGAAAGAGGCTACCACGTCCCTCCCTGTGGCACAAGGCTGCTGAAAGCCTTTCGCGGCTGCTTGGGACCCACACTGGGGCCGCAGGTACAAGGAGAACGCAGATGGAGGCCTCAGTTCTGTGGTTACATGGGGCCATTTTAGAGGTGCTGCCTTCCAAGGCATCCAGGGCCACATGTGGCACCCTGGGCTGGTGGCCATGGGGTCACTGGCTTGGCACAGAACCCGCACAATTATGCTCATGCCTAAATACAAAATGTCGGGGATTTAGAAGTTACGGGGGGTGGGGGGGGTGGAGGGTGCAATTTGAAATAAAACCTGGGAAAAATTAAAACATTAATTTTAATTTTTTTAACTTCACAATACTGGGGCTTGAACTCAGGGCCTCCACTTTGAGCTACTCCATCAGCCCTTTTTAGTGTTGGGGTTTTTTCCAGATAGGGTCTTGCCAACTATTTGCCCAGGGCCTGGCTTTGAACCGCGACCCTCCTGATCTCTGCCTCCTGGGTAGCTGGGATTACAGGCATGGGCCACTGGCGTCTGGCAGCTTTTTAAATTTCTGATGCTCTCTCTACACAGACATGTGAAGCAATCTGGTGACAAGCAGTATGTGGGCGGTAAATAATTTGGTTTGTTCGTAAAATTATTATGTGTGGTGCATTAAAACGAAAAGGGCAGTTTAGTCACCCAAAGACTCCCAGGACGCTTTTCTACAGAAAGGCCTGGAGACGATGTCCCCGTTAAGGAACACAGCACATCTTCATGTCCCCCACGTTTTCACCAACGCACAGACATGGAAGGGACAACCCAGCAACGTCACCCCAGCCAGAAAACCGCAAAGTCGGACATGGAGGTGTCGCTTAGCGATGCTACCAGGTTTTTGCAGCTGTCCTGCCAAAGGGGCACCTGTCCTCCACCCCCTTGAGTCTGGATGGAGAGAACAGGGCAAAAGTGCCACCATATAAGTCCCAGAACCTTGGCCTGGAGAGGCCACCAGCCCCTCCAGCCAGGGGAGCCCCGCATGGCTGAGGCCGCTGAGCTGTGAGCTGTGAGCAGAGTGGGGTGGAGGTGGCGGCTTTGGTGACCAAGCCTCGTGGTTCGGTTAGGCGGCAGCAGGTAAGTGACACCATGCAGAGGAAGGGAAACCAGGGGGGAAAGAAACCTCCAGGCCTGCCGGAGTGGGTCTCCAAGGGGCCAGACTTTAATGGGATGTAAAGCATCCAGACCTCTGACTCGCTCTTGCTTTTCTTCATCCTAAGCCTTTGAGTCAGTGATGGGGAAGTCGATGGACCCTCAGCATAGGGTCCCAAGCACAGTGTTTTCACTTAATGAGTCGGTCAATTAATGAATGCAAAGAATTTCCCCCTAAGGAGCCTTGAAAGGTTTTTGGCAGGCTTCTGTCGGAGGGAGGGACATTGCTGGGGGGGAAGGTGCGTGGTGGCCCCTCTCTCTGGGGCCCTTTCCTGGTTTGGATTCAGCTCCATCCCGCGGGGGACAGCAGGGACCTGTGCCCAGACTCTGCCTCAGTGGTTCCGTGTCTGGGCTGCCCCATGGGTGGCAGGGCGCAGCGGGCTGGGCGTGTGCGTGCAGGTCTGGGAGGGTTATGCTGGGGATGTGTGTTGTGGGTGGTCACAAGGATGGGACAGGGAGGACTGGAAACACCAGCCCTTGTGGGCTCCTCATAACTGTCAGAACTCACAGGCAATCAGGATGTCCCTTGGTAGGTGACCGGCTAGATGACAAACTGTGGACCATCCAGGCGGTGGGGTATTATTTGGGATGCAGAAGAACTGAGCGCTCAGCCAAGGAAAGACGTGAGCACGCTTAGCAGCTGTCGCTGGGTGTAAAGGAGCCAGGAGGCAAGGCTGCAGACGCTGTGATTACAAATGACTTCATGGCGTCAGGAAAAGGCCACATTCCTCCAGAAACAGAGACGGGAGCAGTGGCTGCCCAGGGTTGGAGAAAGGAGGACAAGTGGGGGACACACAGAGGATTCAGGGCAGTGACACGAATCTGCGTGACCCTGTAATGGAGGCTCCCTGTCATCACACACTTGTCTAAATCCAGGGAACACCCACCTCCAGGAGTCAGTCCTCCCGTGGACCACAGCATCAGGCGATAAGGACATTCATTGTAGGTGCGTGGACAGGAACACGGGCGGCTCTGGGGGGGTGTGGACGCCGGGGGATCTGGTTATGTGCAGGGTTCCCGGGGATACAGGGAATTTCTCAACTTTCCACTGCGACTTTCTGTGAACTTGAAACTGCTCTAAAAAAAAAAACCTTTTTTTTTTTTTTAAAAAAAAACAAAAACAGGCTGGGTACGGGGGTACATGTCTGTAATCCCTGCTAATGGGAAGACTGAGGCCCAAGGCCTGCTCCAGGCGAAAGTAAGACCCTACCTGAAAAAAAAAAAAACACAAACAAAAAAACTAAAAGAAGAAAGGGATGGCGGAGAGGCTCAAGCACCAGCTTAGCAAGCGTGAGGCCCTGAGTTCAAACCACCAAAAAAACAAAACAGAACAAGAAAAGAGTGCCAAGCAGAAAACTGTCAAAAGGAAAAAAATTTACTAAAGAATAAACAGTAATAGCCAATAAGATGTTCCTGTCTAGAGTGATAAAATAATGCGCGTGAAAACCAGATCCCGACTGGAGGGAGGTCATGAAACTGTGACAATTTACACGTGGTAAACCCGCGGGAAGGCGCGGACCGGCAGAATCGCTGCAGCCGTCACTCGGACGTGCAAGGCTTAGAGATCCCTTTGCTTTCATTTCTAGCAGTTAGTCCCAGGAAAATAGCCAGAAATGTCCAACGAGAACAAACAAACAAACACGAACAGACACAGGAAAAGCATTTGACGAAAGCCCAATGCTCATTTGTGACACCAACTAGGACAGGAAGGGACCCCCCAAGATGGATACAGGGCATCCACAAATACCCTACAGCCAGCAGCATCGTGCTTAGTGGGGAACACTCAGCCGCTCCCCCAGCCAGAAAAGCACTCTGGGCGCGGAGGCTCGCGCCTGTAATGCTGGTACCTGGGAGGCTGAGGTCGTCTCAAGCTAGCCAG